AGAACTATATGGAAAATAATAAGCCTATGAAGAGGACTATATATATGGACAAGGTATTCTTACACCGGTGTAAGAATAATAAATCTTACACTTAATCTTAATCTTTGATTCTCATATATATGATTATTGTAATCTATTGGAAATTAATAATTAATTAATAAAAATAACTCAATTAATTACAGTCGTTTAATGGGTGGAAATCAACGACTAAGATTGAGTGAAAGACTTACTATTCTTACACCGGTGTAAGTTAATCATGTCTCATATTCATGTCCTATTTAAATATATATATATATATATATATATATATATATATATATGTGTGTGTTAGGATAGGATCCTTTGACACTGATGACAAACTTTAAAATTTGACATCAAATTCTAACCGTTGCTTTCCACCAATCAATGGTTACCATTTATTGGGAATCAAACTTATTAATTAATTATTAATTCCCAATAAATGATAATCGTTGATTGACGAAAATCAATAGTTAGGATTTGATGTTAAATTTCAAAGTTTGACATTGGTGTCAAAGGATCCTGCCCCATATATATATATATATATATATATATATATATATATATATATATATATATATATATATATGGATAGGTTATTCTACCTACCTCTACCTATCTTTTTTAATACCGTTTGATTACAATATAATCTAACGGTGGTGATTCACGGGATAAAACAAACCCTTTATCTTTCCTCCCACCCCCTTCGATGACCATCATCTTTCAGTCTGAAACAATGACAGAAGCCCACAAAAAATGCCATTTTTCTTAAAAATTGTAGTATAATAGCAAGACTTAGAATGTTTCACTTTTCGAATCGGTTTCTTATGTCCCTGTAAGAATATATCATAAATATCAAATTCATTTGGGAAAAGACTTCTGATGTGAATGCAAATACAAAGTGATAATGGACTAAAGGACATGTATCAATGATTTTGCTGAGAATTAAGGGTGCTAATTAACCGATCCAAACTGATTCAAACCGCGGTGACCGAACCGAAAAATTGATAACTGATAACTATCTGGTGGAGAGTTATTTTTAGGCTTATATGTGATGTTTTGGTGCCATGAATATGCATAACTCTCTTGGTTTTATATGATTAATGCATGAATTCTATATTTTCATGATTTGAATGAGAAATATGTTAAGTATAGATATTTGAAGATAATTAGAGTGTTAGAACCAATTATTGCATTTTCTATTTTATTGCAGGTCAGTGTTGTAGCATCGGAAAATAGAGCTGTAGCATTGAAGATGAGGTCAGCAGTGCGTTTGGTTGACATCATCACCAACAAGCTATGGATCCAAGCCCAACTTAATGAAGGAAAACTTCTGAGCGCAAAAACAGATATTCTGATCTGAATAATCTCTCATATATCTTCAAGAAATCGTAATCAAATCTCCAACAAACCAGAGTCCACAAATTCAATTCAAATATAAATTATATATTTGGAAAGATTTGGAGACAATATGCAACAGCTTTATGCTCTGTCCCTGGATCAGAGTTGCAGCAAAAATAGAGTTGTATCTTCAATCAATCATAAAGCAGATTTGACTGTGATTTGCAATGGATTGGAAGAGCTGATTGAAGCCCAATACATCAGAGTCTATGAAGAGAGGAAACCTACACACATGAAGCAGGCTGAAGAGGTTCTTGACACGGATTGGAAGGCAGATTTTAGTGTTGTTAGAGAGAGAAAGTTGGGCAAACACTTAGAGGGAATTTGAGGGTTCGTTGAGAGAAATCCAGCGAATCAAAGGAAGGAGCTAGGGTTCAATAGAGAGATCATTGAATTCGGTGACTTTCTGCACTATTCCGGCGGCTGAGGCAAGGTGGATGGTGGTGGAGCTCATGGTTGCTGCGAGAGCAGAGCTACATCAACGTCCATTTTTTTCTTATCTTAGATCTATGAAATATTATTCTTTCTTTGTTGTTTCTTTCCACTCAAATATGAGCTAAATTGTTAGGATTGGGTGATAGAGTACCCTCGTTGTGATGTAATCAGCTTGCTTAAACTTTGTTGCATGATTATCCTTTTGATTGTTTAATAAAGTGTTTATATTATTTCTAATCTTGTTGATTCATCGAGAGAGAGTTGCAAGGTACTTAAGATTTGGGCTATAGAGATATAGGTGAATCCTGAAAATTATTAAACATTGTGGTTTAACTAAGTAAAATTAGTTAATTGTGGGTAGAGAGATCATTCATATCACAAAATCACATAGAACTTGAACTTAATCATTCATAACTATGTTTGCTATAGAGATATAGGAACTAGTATACATGTATTGCTGGTGAGAGCCTTTGCATGCATTAGTGTTCTGATTACTGAATGAATGATTGTTGTAGCATTGTGACTGTATTCTGGTGAAACTGCAATAATGGGGAAATTGATCCCAATCTGCCTTTGAATACTTGGAAACTTAAATTGTTATTGCATTTTCTTAGTTACTCATTAGTCTTAGCATATTTTATTTCTTATTTCTTAAATTAGTCATTAGTTAATTAAAAATCATTATTGTTACCTTATCTACTTCACTTAGAGCCATAACTTTACTTAATCTCTGTGGGATCGATACTTGAACTCACACATCCACTTTATTACTGTTTGATATGTGCACTTGCGTATTTGTGTGATTGATATAATTGATTGCGAAATTGCATAAAAATAACCAAATTAACTGAAAACCGAAAAAAACCGCAAATTTTAATTGGATTGGATCAATTTTTGATTTGGTTGGTGAAAATCGATCCAATACATTAATTCTCCTCTACCTACTTGGGCATTTCCCCTATCACAGACCAAAAAATTATAAACCCAAGACCCATTAACCCATCAACTGAACCCAAGAAAAAACCTAACCACACCCCATCAGCAAAATTTTCTGTGTAGAGCTTCCTGTCTTATTGCACAAAAACTATTAGATTATTGTTTACTATTACTTCTGTATTTCAAAAAAAAAAAAATTACAAAGCCAATACATACAAAAGATATGTTATTTGCAAAATAATCATCAAACAAATTTTAGGCTTTTCAAAAAAAATCAAAATTGATCCAATCCAAAACGAAAAAAATTAGATTGGATTTGATGGGATTTAAAAAAAAATTCGAAGCGAATGGATGATTACATGATCAAACCGAAGGGATTGGATCAGATGATTTTTTCTTCCTGAACCGATCCAATCCAAACCGTGAATACCTTTACCGAGAACAAGTGCAATGAATTCTCCCAGCAGAGAAAAACAAAGGTAAATGATATGGTGAACTGGTGTTTGACGATAGTGAGAAGAGAGAGAAAGGGTGGGAGGCGTTGGGAGAGAGAAAATGGTAAAAAGGTTTGTTTTATCCCGTGAATGTCCATCGTTGGATTAAATTGTAATCTATCGGTGTTAAGAGAGGTAGGTAAAGGTAGACATAATAACCTATCCTATATATATATATATATATATATATATATATATATATATATATATATATATATATATATAGGAAAAATATTCTTACACTGGTGTCAGAGTTAGAAGTCTCACACTTGATCTTGATTATTAATCTACTTGTATCCAATGACTCACATTACTAACAAATTAGAGTCCTTAGATATAAGTGAGATCGTTGGTCAATATTGAGAGTGTAACTTACACTAGTGTAAAATGATCCTAACCTATACATATATATATATATATATGTGTGTGTGTGTGTGTGTGTAGGGTTTAACGGGTGTACAATGACTGCACCAAAGAATTGGTGCAGTCATATAAGACTACGTCGTTTTATAGTGTGAAAGCAAAAAATATGGAGAATCATAACTATATAAAAGTGGAATTAAATAAAACATTAAATATGGAGAATCATAATCATACAAAGATGAAAATAAATATAATGTTTTCATTTTCTACAATTAATTTTGAACGTGAACTTACTTTATCCCATCCAAAACGACGTAGTTTTTAGGTAACTGCACTAATGCTTATATGCAGTTACATTACAAATTATTTTACCATATATATATATGGGGTTTATATTTTTGCAGCTGCTCTACGTGCAACAATCAAATACTTGCCATATATATGTACTTAAAAGTATTAAATGTGGGAAATCATAACCATACAAAGGATGAAAGTATTAAATGTGAGAATCATAATTATACACCTGTCGTTGTTGTACGTAAATCGGCTGCATAAATAATTCTACACATATATATAATAAAATATTATGTCTACTTTTCTTTTCATGCCTACTTTACCTACTCATATTTAACACTATTAGATCAGAATTTTAACTAACTTTCATCTTTTCTTGAGATTATGATCCAATAGTGTTGGAGATGAGTAGAGAAGGTAAGTAATATATATATATATATATATATATATATATATATATATATATATATATATTATATATGAGAAAAATATTTCTCCGACAACTTGAGATAAGTTTATCTCCGGCTATCCCAAAACTACGTCGTTTTGTTTATTTATTTCTTTATATTAATGTATTCACCTTTGAATGGTTATGATTTTATTTTTCTCTTTCTTCCTTTATCACCATTGATCCATCTTTGTACGATTATAATTTAGTAGCTGGAGATAAAGTTATCTCCGGCAGCTTGAGAAACGATAAGCTATATATATATACACACACAACAATATGCTACCATCTAGTGACTGTCTTTGTAAACTCCACTAATTTACATATTCAATAATTAATTACTATCTAATAGGGTTAATAATATATTTTTATTAATAAATAAATATCTTTTATAACTAATTACAGATGACTTTACCAGTTAATGTAATTATAACTTTGATTTAAACAAAACTCAATTGATCAACAAACTTTGGGTTTGTTGTATTCATGTTGGTATGATCTGAATTGAATACCAACCATATCGGATATTCTTCTTGCACCATATTATTTATATATAAATGAACCATAGCATAACACAGCAACTTCTCTTCCCTCCTTCCTCGGTTGGTGGGTCCTCCTTTGCATTTTTATTAGATTACGTTACCGAGCAACCTCAGAAACAAGGATCCACACATTCTTCAATCAACGTTAACCCCACAAATCCATTCAATTTTCTTGGATCCCCATTGCCAACTTTCATTTTTTTTTCCCCCTATTTTCTCTCTTGCTTGTTTGTTCTCCATCCCTCTGTTTCTGACACCGAGATCTGTGAGACCCTTTTGCATTTTTTCTTCCTTCTCATCATTTTGCTCTATTTTCTTGTTGTTCTCTTCGACCCTTCATTTGTTTTGAGCCTTCAATTGTGTTGTTTTGAAGGTTTGGCTTGTAGTTTAGAAAGTTGGGTACTTGTGCATTTCTTGGTCAATCTTGGTTTTCCTAGTTGTTTTTTTTTTTTTAGCTTTTTGTATCATTTGTTGGGTTTGGGGATAGTTTTGTTGTGGGATTTGTGGTTTTTCAATGGGCTGTTTTGATGAGGGGCATTTCAATGGTGAGCTTGAAAATGGAGTGAGTATTGGATATAGTGAAGTGGGTTTTGAGGAAGAGGCAAATACAGCTGCAATTGAGGATGCTGTGAAGGTTCTGTTGTTGGGTCTTGGTGAAGATATCAACAGGGAAGGTCTTAGAAAGACACCACTTCGTGTTGCCAAGGCCCTCCGGGAAGGAACCAGAGGTGACTATCTCTATCCCATTGAACTTTTTGGACTAATGGCTTTTGTTTAGTTATATACTTTTGAAAGGGTTGAAGTGAATTTTATATCAATCATGATAGTTTTATTAATATTTCTTTTATCAGAGATGTTCAACAATAATTGTTAACAAGTTAACATCTTAGTTATTGTTAATTTTCTGGGAAAGGAGTGGTTTCTATCAAGTAGTTGCAATATCATTGTTATCATTGTAGCTTTGTTTTTTTGTCCCACTTTACTAAACGTTCTTCTGATTATGATGGTGAATACTGAATGGTGATGGGTGTTATAGTTTTTTAACTTTGCTTTCCCGTATCTAAATTTGGATCTAGATCATTCTTGTTGTATCTAACTGCTCAAGTGACTAATAAATTAGAGCGATTAGATCCGATTGGGATCAACAACTACTAATAAAGGTAAGACTTACACCTGTGTATGTTGATTGTTTTCCTATATAAATATATATATATATATATAACTACTCCCCAATAAATCCCGACCAGTGAGAACAACGGTGAGGGCAATCCTACTATGCAGCCTTACCTATATGAGGAAACTTTTTGTTTGTCCTTCTGTTTTGAGAAAACAATATCCGGATTCCGGTCAAAAGAGTAGTTCAATGCTGTTGAGGCAGTTGCTAGATGCATTTTCTGCTTGTTTGCTTTCCTTCTCCGTTCTGCTGTTGCTTCTGCTGTAGGGAGGCTTTTAGTGCCCCCTTGATATTAGAGAGTGAAAAGGTTTTGGCATCCAGTTTCTTCTTCCTTTTTTTTTCTTCTTTTATTTGTCCGAAATATATAATCAACCAAGAATCATGATCCTATTCCTTAACCAACTGCTGTGTACATGTTGCAATTTACTGCACTAACTGTCAATCATTGGTATGTATAAGCTATGGTTAAGACACTAACAGACGTAGTGATTAGTGTTTATTTATATAGCTGCCTACGTAGTTCACCATTACATTGAGCACAATTTTCCTTCTTCCTCCATTTTCAGTTTTCTTGCTTTAAATGTTTGATTTCCATAGATTCTCTACATGAGTATGTCCATTTGGCATAGTATAAAATTAAAATTTGTCATATTTTCTTGCATAATATTGTACTAATCCTTAGGAAATTGATTCTTTTCCAGGTTACAGACAAAAAGTGAAGGATATTGTTGAGGGTGCTTTATTTCCTGAAGCTGGTCTAGATAATAATAGAATTGGTCATGCAGGAGGTGCAGGTGGACTTGTGATTGTTCGAGATCTTGACCTTTATTCCTATTGTGAGTCTTGCTTGCTACCATTCCAGGTTAAGTGTCATGTGGGTTATGTTCCTTCTGGCCAAAGAGTTGTGGGTTTAAGCAAGCTCTCTCGTGTGGCTGATGTGTTTGCTAAACGACTCCAAGAGCCTCAGCGTCTGGCAGATGAGGTGTGTTCAGCTTTACATCAGGGAATAAAGCCAGCAGGTGTTGCTATCATACTTCAGTGTACTCATATCCATTTTCCTGACATAGAATCAATCTTTCTTGAATCAAATCAGCAAGGGTGGATGAAGATACTAGTTTCATCAGGTTCTGGGGTTTTTGAAAACAAAAGTGCAGATTTATGGGCTGATTTCTTTTGCCTTCTTAAATTTAGAGGTATTGATATCGAAAAAATTCACCTTAGAGGATCATCTGACCAATACTGGTGTCCTTCTCTGTCTGCTCTTTCTGCTAAAGTTTCCTCCAAAATCGGACCAGTTAATCCCGCAATGGTCAATGCAGTGTCTTCAATCCTTAAATCTTTGGGAGAAGATTTGGTAAGGAAGGAGCTTGCAGGGACTCCGAGTCGATTTGTGAAATTGCTGTTGAACTTCCAAAGCATTGACATGGATGTGAAGTTGAATGGTTCTCTTTGTGGTGGGATAGATTCTCTGAACACCAATGGGGAGGTCAACTTTAATGATAAACAAATATATTCTGAGTTGAACTTACCTTTTTGGTCACAATGTGAACATCATATACTTCCATTTCATGGTGTTGTTCACATAGGATACTTCCTTTCAGAAGGATTCAATCCTATTGGAAAATCCCTTTTACAGTCAATAGTACATTTTTATGGTTTCAAGCTTCAGGTTCAGGAAAGGCTTACAAGGCAGATAGCAGAAATCATTTCACCACTGTTAGGTGGAAATGTAATAGTAGTTGTAGAAGCAAGTCACACATGTATGATTTCTAGGGGAATTGAGAAGTTTGGAAGTAGTACAGCTACCATTGCAGTATTAGGATGCTTTTCAACTGACCTTGCCGCACGGGCCGCATTCTTGCGAAATATGGCAAGTTCTACATCCTCTGGAGGGCATAATTCTTCTTGTTATAGCTCAGTTGAATGATTTAGCAGTATTTCAACTCATTCTCTGCATTTTTGAAGGTTTTGCTACCAGTATTACTGCAGCAGCCTAGACATGGATAATTTCAGTACATTTGAAAGTCACCCAAATTTTGTTCTGTTGGAAGAGGCTCACACTAAGTCTTCATATTTTGGCTTCTCTCTTTTTTATGTGATTACATATTATAAAATCCCTTATGAAATATTCAAGGGGTGAGTCACTTTGTCCAGATTCACATGCTGGCAGTCTCTGCTTGTCCTAAAATGTGATTGATATTAGTCTACCCTGAAAACTTTTCTCACTTTAAATTACAATGGTACTCATCTTTCGTTATTTTATATGAAGCTTCAGAAAGGAAAGGTTGAAACTTAATAGTTGTGCCTGCAAATGCTTGGCTGCCATGGAAATATTGGTATAACGGATCATCAATAATATCTACCAGTCTTGAACTTATGGTTATTTAAATTGTGTTTATTCGGTCATGGTTGAGTAAGAAGTGTTGAATGAGTTAGGATCAGCTAACAGTTTTGAAGAAATAGTAATGTGTTTCTAATTAATCAAAGTGATGTGTGAGTAGGGTTGGCAAAACGGGCCAACCCGACTCGACCTGACCCAACCCGTTTTGAACCCCAAAAAAACGAGTCAGGTTAGGGTTGACCTGGAAAAAAAACGAGTCAGAAAATTCAACCCAACCCAACCCGAGCTGAGTTAGGGTTGGCTTGAAAATTAGCTCGTGGGCTGGCTCATAAGGGTTGGCTCGAGAAATGACTAACGAGTTGGCTCGCGGGTTGGCAAAGCAAAACAAAAGCAACAACTAAAACGAGTATGACCGTAGAGAAGCACAAATAGAGATTATCATCAACACAAAAAAGAAATAACAAAATCGAACTAGGAATCTCACAAAATACGATCGTCCAAACTTTGCAGATCTATTCAATCAAAGACATGAGTATCATAACCAAACATTTGAAGAGACCTCAAAGGAAATTGCATATCTAAAGCGTGACGAAGCTAAATGCTAATAAAACAACACAATCTGAACATGTGTTAAATCTGAACATGTATTACACTTGAAGAGGTCAAGAGGATTGACGACCATGTGAGTAAGGTCATAGCTGAGGATTCCAGCGACGGTGCAGGCGACGTAGAAGGCCGGCGAGTACACTCGATCTGAACCGAAAGTGGATGTGTGGGTTGGGCTGTGGGCAGTGAGATTTATAGGTTGGCTGTCGATTTGGGGTATTTGACTGGTGGCTGGATGGGTTTTTAGATCTAAACCGATGATGGTTTTGGACGGTGGTTGGCTCGCGGGTTGGCTCGTTCTGACCCGCAACTCGTCAGGTCGGGCTGAACTGGGTTGGTGGCTCATTTTGGCCAACCCAACCTGTCTCATTTTTTGCGGGTTACGAGCTGGCCCAACGAGCCAGCTTGTTTTTGCCAACCCTATCGATCACCCTGCTCAGCTGAAAATTTAAAACTAGAGTGCATAAGGTTGGGATGGCCATCGTTTTCTTATGAACCCCCCACAGATGATAGACAGTGAAACACAATGAGACGTTTTGAATAAGGGGAAAATGGGAGGACTGAGTTTTCACTGTGTTCTCTCGCGAGAACACAGTGCAATACATTTATTGCACTAATTGCACTATGTTCTCGCGGGAGAACACAATTTCAAGTCGATAATAACAATAAATATATAAGTTAATTTCATTTTTATGTTTAATAAATCAATAACATAATAATTCACTTTCATTTGATTAAAAACAATTTTAAATAACAATTAAAAAATTTATTTTATTTTCATTAGATTGCAATGTCATTTATTTTAATCTTAAAAATAATTATAATGTGATTTGTCATGGTTTTAAAAATATATTTAATTAAAATGTATTTAGAATTTTACATAAGGTTAAATTTTTTTATAAAATGAAGTTAATAAAAAAATAGTAATCAAAAGAGTTTTCTATTTTTTAACTTCGAAAATGTGTTTTTAAAACAATGGCCTCTTTGATTTAAGTTTTTTAAAAAAGTTTTTAAATTATAAAAACTAAAAACCAAAAAAACTCATTTTCAGAATTATATCCGCAAAACACCACTCACCAAGTTTTGGTTTTTAGTTTTTAAAACAACAATTACAGAACACCACTCTGTTAACAAAAACATTTGGTGCTGCGTTTGGAGCGTAAGAATTTGGGTCCGATCAGCAAGTGAGCGTAACAATCATCTCATCTCACCAAATTCTCATTTTTTAACATTCGATCTGCGTTTGGAGCGTACTTCGTTGTTTTGGTGCTGCGTTTGGAGCGTAAGTGAAGGAAAAATCAGGATTTATACATCACTGTGTTAACCCATAACATCCTATAGGGTCTGGTTTGGTGCGTATTCCGAAAGAGGCTGCAGCTGTTCTTGAGGCCATTGCACTCCCCTCCACAGAATGGGAATTTAGAAAGCCTAGTCTCATGTTTAGGCTGATCGAACGCAGAAAATTAACATGGATAGTCAAAGTGTGGTACCACTTCGTAGTGAGCAACATCTTGCATTCCTCAAATAAAAGAGAGGTTAATTTGGAGAGAGAAATATTGGTAAAAGAAATCATGGGTGAAGCTTATCTGCACATTTCTCAGATTTTATCCGACAGCATCCATAATATTACAAATAGGAAAATTATTGCAAAGGGGAAAAATGGGAAAAGAAAGACTTTACCTTTGGCACATTGTTCTTTAATTACACTTTTCTGTGAGAAAGCAGGGGTTGTTGTGGATAATGAGGAGAATAAGAATTTACTTAAGTCTGGTAATGTTATTAAATGCGCTGTAATTGAGAAATATCAGTTGAAAACCACATGAAGGTAAGTGGGATTCGGATTCTGGTCAAAGAGGAGGAAGTTGGCCTCTTGGGTGATACAAATGAGAATGTTGCAGCTCATCACGATGAAAGCATGCAAGAAGACTTGCAGCACACATCTCCCACAAATCAGCAAATTATGGAGAAATTAGATCAGGTGCAAAAAATTAACATGGATAGCCAAAGTGTGGTACCACTTCGTAGTGAGCAACATCTTGCTGGCGTCAAACAAAAGTGATGTCAATTTGGAGATAGCAATATTGGTAAAAGAAATCATGGGTGAAGCTTATCTGCACATTTCTCAAATTATATCCGACAACATCCATAATATTGCAAATAGGAAAATTATTGCAAAGGGGAAAAATGGGAAAAGAAAGACTTTACCTTTGGCACATTGTTCTTTAATTACACTTTTGTATGAGAAAGCAGGGGTTGTTGTGGATAATAAGGAGAATAAGAATTTACTTAAGCCTGGTAGTGTTATTAATTGCGCTGTAATTGTGAAATACCAGTTGGAAACCGCAAACCACATGAAAGCCTAGTCTCATGCCTAGGCTAATCGAACGCAGAAAATTAACATGGATAGCCAAAATGTGGTACCGCTTCGTAGTGAGCAACATCTTGCTGTCCTCAAACAAAAGTGAGGTCAATTTGGAGATAGCAATATTGGTAAAAGAAATCATGGGTGAATCTTATCTGTACATTTCTCAGATTATATCCGACAACATCCATAGTATTGCAAATAGGAAAATTATTGCACAGGGGAAAAATGGGAAAAGAAAGATTTTACCTTTGGCACATTGTTCTTTAATTACACTTTTGTGTGAAAAAGCAGGGGTTGTTGTGGATAATGAGGAGAATAAGAATTTACTTAAGCCTGGTAGTGTTATTAATTGCGTTGTAATTGAGAAATACCAGTTGGAAACCGCAAACCACATGAAGGAAAATGAGATTCAGATTCCGGTCGAAGAGGAGGAAGTTGACCTCTTGGGTGAGGAGGAAGTTGGCCTCTTGGGTGATACAAATGAGAATGTTGCAGCTCATCACGATGAAAGCATGCATGAAGACTTGCAGATACAGCTCCAAGTCTCCATAATTTTCTGATTTGTGGGAGATGTGTGCTGCAAGTCTTCATGCATGCTTTCATCGTGATGAGCTGCAACATTCTCATTTGTATCACCCAAGAGGTCAACTTTCTCCTCACCTAAGAGGCCAACTTCCTCCTCTTCAACCGGAATGTGAATCCTATTTGCCTTCATGTGGTTTCTAACTGGTATTTCTCAACTACAGCGCAATTAATAACATTATCAGGCTTAAGTAAATTCTTATTCTCCTCATTATCCACAACAACCACTGCTTTCTTACACAAAAGTGTAATTATAGAACAATGTGCCAAAGGTAAAGTTTTTCTTTTCCCATTTTCCCCCTTTGCAATAATTTTCCTATTTGCAATATTATGGATGCTGTCGGATAAAATCTAAAAAATTATCAGATAAGCTTCACCCATGATTTCTTTTACCAATATTGCTCTCTCCAAATTGACCTCACTTTTATTTGAAGACAACAAGATGTTGCTCACTACGAAGTGGTACCACACTTTGACTATCCATGTTAATTTTCTGCACCTGATCTAATTTCTCCAAAATTTGCTGATTTGTGGGAGATGTGTGCTGCAAGTCTTCATGCATGCTTTCATCATGATGAGCTGCAACATTCTCATTTGTATCACCCAAGACATTCTCATTTGTATCACCCAAGAGGCCAACTTCCTCCTGACCCAAGAGGCCAACTTCCTGCTCTTCGATCAGAATCTGAATCCCATTTGCCTTCATGTGGTTTTCATCTGGTATTTCTCAATTACAGCGCATTTAATAACATTACCAGGTTTAAGTAAATTCTTATTCTCCTCATTATCCACAACAACCCCTGCTTTCTCACACAAAAGTGTAATTAAAGAACAATGTGCCAAAGGTAAAGTCTTTCTTTTCCCATTTTTTCCCTTTGCAATAATTTTCCTATTTGCAATATTATGGATGCTGTTAGATAAAATCTGAGAAATGTGCAGATAAGCTTCACCCATGTTTTCTTTTACCAATATTGCTATCTCGAAATTGACCTCACTTTTGTTTGAGGACAACAAGATGTTGCACACTACGAAGTGGTACCACATTTTGGCTATCCATGTTATTTTTCTGCGTTCGATTAGCCTAGGCATGAGACTAGGCTTTCATGTGGTTTGCGGTTTCCAACTGGTATTTTTCAATTACAGCGCAATTAATAACACTACCAGGCTTAAGTAAATTCTTATTCTCCTCATTATCCACAACGACCCATGCTTTCTCACACAAAAGTGTAATTAAAGAACAATGTGTCAAAGGTAAAGTCTTTCTTTTCCCATTTTCCCTTTTGCAATAATTTTTCTATTTGCAATATAATAATGATGGTGGATAAAATCTGAGAAATGTGCAGA